GCTTAGGTCATGATCTCACGGTTCGTGGGTTCGGGCCCTGCGTCGGGCTCTGTGCTGACGGCTCAGAGCCTGGAGCCTGTTTCAGTCTGTGTCTCCCTCTCTCTCTGACCCTCCCCTGCTCACGCTGTCTCTCTCTCTCTCTCTCCTAGAAATAAATAAAACATTTAAAAAATTAAAAAAAAAAAAACTGAGACTCAGGGCAACTGGCTAGCCACTCTGTCTCGCCCCCCCATCTACCATCTGATCCCCCAGAACTGTGGAGATTGCAACAGTTTCTGTCTGCCACCTGTCTGGCACAGGTGAACTCCCTCCCCCATCCCAGATACGTTGCTTTTCATACTATCTTCCTACTATCGTTCAGGCATGGCAAGCTGAGCCCTGGCCCGCTGCCAGGTCCTGTCAGGGGGTTGGGATGCGGGATTCTGCCAGGAGGGCGCAGCCTGGCCCTCACACACATGGCATCGCCACCGCAGGTGTAAGGACTGAGAAATGCATCCGATGGTGGAGAGTGCCTGGCAGGGAATTGAAACCAGCTGATGTACAGGCTTCTGCTTCTGCTCCAGATGAAGTAACAGGGACCAGATCCACATGCTCTTGCCTGAAACAGAAAAAAAAAAAAAAAAAAAGGCAGAAATAAATATGTGTGAAAAATACAAAACACAGAACATCACACAGCAAAGGACAGTGATTCTTGAGAAATGGGAAACAAGTGAGACCACAACCAGCCCTGCTCCCTGCCTGGAGAGGGTTTCCAGAGTTCAGCGTAGGCAGTGGGGACCCAGGCAGAGCCCCGAGTTCTCCCTCAGTTGAGGGGATGGGGTGGGGAGTCCCAGGAGAACAAGACGACCAGAGTTCACAGGGCCGGGCCCTGGAGAGGAAACAGCTGTGCGGAGGGAACCCCGGCGATCCACGGAGGGCCAGCCTCCTGGTTTCAGCTGACTGCAGGCTAGTGGAGGAATGAGAAGAGAAAAACCCACCCAGCTTAGAGGAAGAACCACCCAGAAGGACGCAAGCACACAGACCGTGGGAATAGTGCCTGTGCCTGACAGCCAGAGTTGAGAACCTCCTAATTTAAGACGCATCAGTTAGAGTAGAAAGAAGGGTTTTGCTTCAGTAGCAGAGAAAAATCAACCCTAGACTACATATAGTTCTGGTCCTGCCCAAAAAAGCTTAAAGACAAAACCCAAAAGGGTCACACAAGCTCCAGGTGACTTGACTGCATCCCAGAAACAAATAGAAAGACATTATGGAAATCTAAAACTACCCAGCACCCAGAAAGGCAGAAGACACACTTTGACATCCAACCAAAAATCATTAGGCATGAAAAGAGGCAAGAAATGATAACCCATAATGAGGGAGAAAATCAATCAAAACTAACTCAGATGTGACAAAAATGATAGAATTAGTAGCGAGAACGGCCTTTACACTTACCGTGACCATATTCCAGATGTTCACGGTGCTGGACGGAAGACTGAATATGTTAAGTACAGATATGGAAGATTTTTTAAGCCTCAAATTGAACTACAATGTCTGAGATAAAGAACACATTGAATGAGATTAATAGAATATCGCACAAGGAAAAAAAATGTGAATTTGAAGTCATAGCAATAAAGACTATCCAAATAAACACCAAGAGGAAAGTGACTGAAAAGGAAAATGAACTAAGCATCAGTGAGCATTTGGTAACTCCACAAAGCTGAGCTACAGGTGGAGCTGGCGCCTCAGAAGAGAGGAGGTGGAAGTGGGAAAGAAAACATATTTTAAGAAAATGGCCAGATTATTTTTTTACAAATGTAATGAAAAACATAAGCCCACAGTTCCCAAAAGCTCGACAAAAGAAACATGAAGAAAACTACACTAAAGCTTGTACATCATTCTCAAAATGCTGAAGAACAGTTATAAAGAGAATAGCGTAAAAGTATCCAGGGGAGCCAAAGCGATCTTGAAAAAGAAAACCAAAGTGGAGGCATCACAATCCCGGACTTCAAGCTGTATTACAAAGCTGTGATCATCAAGACAGTACGGTACCGGCACAAAACCAGACACTTAGATCAATGGAACAGAATAGAGAACCCAGAAATGGACCCACAAACACATGGCCAACTAATCCTTGACAAAGCAGGAAAGAGTATCCAGTAGAATAAAGACAGTGTCTTCAGCAAGTGGTGCTGGGAAAACTGGACACAACATGCAGGAGAATGAACCTGGACCACTTTCCTACACCACACACACAAATAAACTCAAAATGGATGAAAGACTTAAACGTAAGACAGGAAGCCATCAAAATCCTCGAGGAGAAAACAGGCTACAACCTCTCTGACCTTGGCTGTAGCAACTTCTTACTCAACATGTCTCCGGAGGCAAGGGAAACAAAAACAAAAACGAACTATTGGGAATTCGTCAAGATAAAAAGCTTCTGCACAGGGAAGGAAACAATTAGCAAAACTAAAAGGCAACCAACAGAACGGGAGAAGATATTTGCAAATGACATATCGGATAAAGGGTTAGTATCCAAAATCTATAAAGAACTTGCCAAACTTAACACCGGAAAAACAAGTAATCCAGTGGAGAAATGGACAGAAGACATGAATAGACACTTCTCCAAAGAAGACATCCAGGTGACCAACGGACACATGAAAAGATGCTCAACATCACTCATCATCATGGAAATACAAATCAGAACCACAATGAGATACCACCTCACACCTGTCAGAGTGGCTAACTTAACAACTCAGACAACAACAGATGTTGCTGAGGATGCAGAGAAAGAGGGTCTCTTTTGCACGGCTGGTGGGGATGCACACCGGTGCAGCCACTCTGGAAAACAGTGTGGAGGTTCCTCAAAGAATTAGAAATAGAACTAACCTATGACCCAGAAATTGCACTATTAGGTATTTAGCCAAGGGATACAGGTGTGCGGTTTCGAAGGGGCACATGCACCCTAATGTTTATGATAGTGTTATCGACAATAGCTGAAGTATGGAAAGAGCCCAATGTCCATCGACAGGTGAGTGGATAAAGAAGATGTGGTTTATATACATACAATGGAGAATTAGTCGGTAACAAAAAGAATGAAATCTTGACATTTGCAATGACATGGATAGAACTAGAGGGTATGATGCTAAGTGAAATGAGTCAGTC